GAGGGCTAAAATTTGGCCTTTAGCTGTATATAATTGCACAGACAGAATTCTGAAAATATAATAAAGGTCTTATCTTGTGTATTACTTGCCTCTATCAACCTGAATGCGCTTTAAATATTTAATGTCACTAATGCTGCAATCTTTGACACATCCAAGAGGTCAAATCATGCAAAACTTCACCTAATACGGTCTAGACCTTTCAATTAAATATTATATTTACTCCCTGGAGAGTTTCTGATGCATTATTTATCTCGACGCCCCCGTCATCAGTGGATGGAGGTGGACAGTCTATTTGTCGGCTGTCAGATGGAGACAGTGAACAGTCCGACACATGATTATTAGTCTGCTAGTTCTGTCCTGAATCGCAGCATCAGCCAAAATGTTTTGTGCATGTAAATATTATGCAAAGCAGCACGGTGGCTCAGTGGTTAGCACTGTCACCTCACAGCAAGAAGGTTACTGGTGCCGGCTGGGACAGTTGGCATTTTTGTGTGGAGTTTGCATGTTCTCCCTGTGTTAGTGTGGGTGTCCTCAGGGTGCTGGTTTCCCCCGCTTTGTGAATAAGTGTGTTTGGGTGTTTTGCAGTACTGGGTTGCAGCTGGAAGAACATCCGCAGCGTAAAACATATGCTGGAATAATTGGCAGTTCATTCCACTGTGGCAACTTCTAAAATAAAGACTAAACCGAAGGAAAATGAATGAATGAATACATTAAAATAGTATCTTAGTGCAACTAAATCGATTAAGTCCAACACATTTCGGGATAATACATGATTTGGCATCCCTAATGAAACTGGACAGCTACATTTCACCATGTATATTGAACTGATGATGAGGAAAATCTTCTGCTAATGCTGTATATGTCATTAACAGTGATCAGTACTGTGTACTTTCTGTGTGAAACTTTCATTAAACTCCTGTAATTAAACGTCTGTATGCAATTTATTCTGCTCATCCCATGCCTCAGAAATCACTTTGCTTTATTCTTTTCCAATTTCAAACACAAGCAGCAGTTTTTATGAATCAATTCATTGTTATCCACTTAAAGCAAAAGCCGCAACGCAAAATATTGCTTTTATAGAGTTTGCATATAGCAGAAAATGAAATTATCTTTTAAGGGGAGAGACAAACAGGCAACGCAGCGGTGATAAGTCAATACTTATTTAGTCTCAGAGCAAGAAAAGCGGAACAATAAAGACAAACAGTCCTTTATATTGCGTGATAAAGAGACGTTTAGAGGAAAAGTGCTTTGTGGAAGTTTCTCAACCAATTACACAGTCTCAAGTGGAAAACTAGAGTGTAAAACTTCTAGAGCGAGAACAGTATTTATAGTCAGAGAGAGAGCAGGTATTGTATTTTGCAGTTCACTTTCACTTTACACCAAATGAGTTATGAGTTCATTTTACTCATCCTTTCTGGCTGACGGCAGGTATGAAACACTGAATTTCTGCTGCTTTCCTCCAATTAACACCTGTGAGATCAGAGCTTTAAAAAGCAAATTATGTCAGCACAACCTGAGGATCAGATAATCATCAGTCTGTCTGGATAAATCACTTCTAAAAGCATCTTTAACACTGCAAGAAAATGTGTTTCTTTGATTCTTTTGTCTTGTTTCTAGATCAAATAGCTCGGAATTCTTAAACGGCGCCAATTTTATCACTTTTACAAGATGTAAGATCAAAACACTTAAAACACTCCTGTTTTTCCCAGGGGTCATTCTGAAAACATACCCCCGTATACATTTCTGGAGATCGCAAATTATGTAGCCAGAGGAACGTATGGGGTCAGTCGGTGCTTTTGAAAACACTATTGGTTGGGTTTAGGGAAGGGGTGGGCGAGTCAATCGGTGCTTTTGAAAACACTATTGGTTGGGTTTAGAGAAGGGGGTGGGCGAGTCAATCGGTGCTTTTGAAAACACTATTGGTTGGGTTTAGAGAAGGGGGTGGGCGAGTCAATCGGTGCTTTTGAAAACACTATTGGTTGGGTTTAGGGAAGGGGGTGGGCGAGTCAATTGGTGCTTTTGAAAACACTATTGGTTGGGTTTAGGGAAGGGGGTGGGCGAGTCAATTGGTGCTTTTGAAAACACTATTGGTTGGGTTTAGGGAAGGGGGTGGGCGAGTCAATTGGTGCTTTTGAAAACACTATTGGTTGGGTTTAGAGAAGGGGGTGGGTGAGTCAATCGGTGCTTTTGAAAACACTATTGGTTGGGTTTAGGGAGGGGGTGGGTGAGTCAATCGGTGCTTTTGAAAACACTATTGGTTGGGTTTAGGGAAGGGGGTGGGCGAGTCAATCGGTGCTTTTGAAAACACTATTGGTTGGGTTTAGGGAGGGGGTGGGTGAGTCAATCGGTGCTTTTGAAAACACTATTGGTTGGGTTTAGGGAGGGGGTGGGTGAGTCAATCGATGCTTTTGAAAACACTATTGGTTGGGTTTAGGGAAGGGGGTGGGCGAGTCAATTGGTGCTTTTGAAAACACTATTGGTTGGGTTTAGGGAGGGGGTGGGTGAGTCAATCTGTGCTTTTGAAAACACTATTGGTTGGGTTTAGGGAGGGGGTGGGTGAGTCAATCGGTGTTTTAAAAAACACTATTGGTTGGTTTTAGGGAGGGGTGAACGAGTCAATCGGTGCTTTTGAAAACACTATTGGTTGGGTTTAGGGAAGGGGGTGGGTGAGTCAATCGGTGCTTTTGAAAACACTATTGGTTGGGTTTAGGGAGGGGGTGGGTGAGTCAATCGGTGCTTTTGAAAACACTATTGGTTGGGTTTAGGGAGGGGTGAACGAGTCAATCGGTGCTTTTGAAAACACTATTGGTTGGGTTTAGGGAAGGGGGTGGGTGAGTCAATCGGTGCTTTTGAAAACACTATTGGTTGGGTTTAGGGAGGGGGTGGGTGAGTCAATCGGTGCTTTTGAAAACACTATTGGTTGGGTTTAGGGAGGGGTGAACGAGTCAATCGGTGCTTTTGAAAACACTATTGGTTGGGTTTAGGGAGGGGGTGGGTGAGTCAATCGGTGCTTTTGAAAACACTATTGGTTGGGTTTAGGGAGGGGGTGGACATCAGCCTATGGTGGATTTACATGAAAACAGCAGGTGCGAATGGCACTCACAAGAGAAATTTGAGATCTGAAAAAGAGTCCTCAGCAGCCTCTGGTGGATTCATGAAAACAAAACTGCAAAAAAACGTAGCTCCTGGGATGAATTTGACGCTCTCCAGTAATGTATATAGGGCTACATAATGTGAATGAGCCTGGTTTTTGTGTGAACTACCCCTTTATATATAACGTAAGAAGGTTTTTGTTGTTGCTTTTTCGAATGCAGGTTTTGCATAGTATATATTTGGCCTAAGATAATTTGTCATCGAGACTAGAAACCTAAGATGCTTTAGATGTGTATTTATGGACATGACATCTTATTAGAAACAGCTCACGCTTCTCACAGCAGAACAGAAGAATTCGAGTGCAGGACTCAGACTTGCCTTTGATCATCATGAAATCCACATCTTTAACAAGATTATGCACATGTATGAACATGCCTCAATGTCACACATATAGATAAACACACACACACACACACACACACACACACACACACCACACACACACACACACACACACACACACACACACATACACACACACACACACACACACACACACACATACACAAGCAGCAGAATTCTTTAGATGTAGTCTAGAGTGTTGAATGAGCTGTGTGTGTGCGTGTGTGTGTGTGTGTGTGTGTGTTT